TTAAAATAGGGGCAAATATAGAACTTTGATGGACGGCAGGGATAAATTTGGACGGAAAGTATAACGGGGGACAGGATTGAACAATAAAACAAAGTATAGGGATATATCAGGCCCTTTTCCGAAGAAAAAAATTGACTTTTGTTTAATGAACACAAAGTTGAATGATTTTTACGTAACAAAAAAAAAGTAACTTTTGGGTAACAAACACAAAAGTTCAATGACCATGGATAAAATTATCTCCAAAAACTCCCATTCTGAAAATATTCCCGCATAGTATGCTGGAGTTTAATTTTTTCATATGAGCTTCCAACATAATGTGCTGGAATTTCAACATAATATGTAGGAAGTATATGAAGCATATTATGCTGGAACTTTCCGTGTGCTGGAGTTCCAACATAGTATGCTGAAAGTTTATACGCTGGAGCTCCATAAACCGCATTATACTGAAATTTTTCCTATTTCAATAAAATAGTGGCTATTTTTAATGACTTTCCAAAAACTGGCTAACCCGTGTTATTTTCACATAATAATGGACAAGCCCACAAAATGATATACTACTAATAAAATGGGAGTTGTGTTGGGCTGAGGACTTCACTTCCAATACTTAAGAGTCAGAGAACGCTCAACTCTGCCCATGGCTTGGTGAGACTATCAGTCAATTGATTGTGGTAAAAACGTTTGCTCAATTCTTCGTCTTCTTTGTTCCACTTCATATTTGCCTCTCTCCATATTTTTGTTTTTTTTTCCACCTTCATCTTCCTCGTCTTTAATTAACTGGATTTGATAAATAAAGGCAAAAAAAAAAAAAAAGAATGAACCGAAGATTCGGTGGAGGAAAGCAGCCAACAGGGACTCCATCAATGGCTTGGTCTACTGTTGTTGTCGTTGTTTCCCTCCTTGCTGGTGCCTCCGTTGTTCACAACTTTTTCAAACCTGATCTGGTAATTCCCCCTTCCCATTTTCTCTTTACAATTTACATTTAGAAACCTCTAATTTGTCCACAACAAAAAAAGTTATATTGGAGCGAAATTACATGGGCCTAAATGGAGCGGAATGATTAGGCAAATCAGAGAATTTAAACTTAATGAATTCAACCTTTAAGGTGCTTAGCAACAATGTATTAGTTGTCATTATGGGTTCAGAATTTGATATTTATTAAAATTTTAATGATTTTTTTACTACATATAGACATTTGCGGTGAAAGTAGCGAGTTCAGGTAAATCCATAGTATATAAGCACCATTCACCTCTGTATATAGCTAACTTAACTAGTTTGGAATTGAGACATACTAAGTGAAAATTTTGGTGCTTATGCAGTTGCTAGTTTGTTTAATTGTTGTGTCATGCTTCAAATAACATTAGTATTAGGAGATTAGTTTTGTTATTTGATATGTTTACTTAGCAAGGGTGCATAGTGTGGCCTTTCTCTTATTTCATTTACCCGTTTGAAAGAATGCCCCATTGAAATTGCGGATATGTGATAAATAGTGCCGGTTTAAGACAATTTATGCCATCTCTGAACTATAAGTAGCTATAAAGTTGAAAACTTTATTGTATATGATGTTTTGAGTACATAAAGTTCTTCTATGCTGGACTGTAATTACAATGTAATTGAAGGATGTTACATTGTGGTCTGCATTATGAAAGATATCTGTTTTACATGAAATTTAAGTGTATTAATTGGTTATGTTTTCTAGCAAGCGAGGAAACTCTGTGGCCTTTCTCCTATGTCTTTTACCTGGCTGATATAATGCCCCTTTAAATTTGTGTCGATCTAATGAATGGTGCCAGTTGGGAAATGTTAAGTACTAATACGCTTGTTTGCATCGCTAGATGTAGTCACCCTAACCTCTTTCGTAAGTCAACAAAATGTTGAAGAATTTTTTGGGATATGATGTCCCAGAACAAAAGTTTCTCAATGTTGGAATATCAGCTAGCATTGGCTTGAAGGATGAAAAAATTGATATTGACATTGTAATCTGCATTATAAAGATATGGAAGCTTTTTTTTTATATAATGGTGTTGTCCGGATCAGCTGGGGCGCACCTCAATTATTCCACTGGGTACCTGCTGCCTCCCACCTACACAGGTACCGGGTAAGTCAAGCAACCAAAGCTTAGGCAGATTGGAAGAAATGACCTAGTTTTAGATTTGAAGCGTATAAAGATATCCAACCTTATATGCAATTATTGAACCTTGGTAATGAACCACAAGGAAAATATCCTCTAATACAAGTCGTATGATGAATTTTTTGTGACACTTTTTCCAAATCGAAACATCAATTCTTCTATCCCGTGTTGTAAATTGTAGAACCAGAATGAGAGCATATCTTAGTGACAATGCAGTTGGCATGACTGTACGAAATAACTTTGTTTCTTTACCAATATGATATTTAGAACAAAATAGTGATTTGATCTCACTCTTTGTAAGTGCTTACTTAGTTCCTTGAGTTTACTGCCCATAAAAATCAAAACAACTCCGTAGTCTCACTGTGTAAGCTGGCCTAAACATCACCATCATAAAAAATATAGGGTATTAGCATCTGAATAATTTCTTTAATAGAACACTTATTTTTGTTTTGATATTTAGTCAAATTATTCTAGTTACATTGATCTTATGCTGTTTTATGTTGTAAATATGCATTGACCTTAGAAAATTCCGGTAAGCTGGTTTCTCCTCAAATCTGCTTTATTTGTTGATCGTTGTTCCATCTTATCTGAATATCCTTTTAATACATTAATCATCAAACACTAGAAGTACTTAATGGAAATCATGTTTGATAATATAATTCAATTCTTAATACAGATGCGTAAAGTGATTAGACTTTCGAAACATAAGAAGGTTGCTTAATACATTAAACAATGGTCTACAAGTTCTGAATTGAAACAAGCTAAAATGTTTCCTGGAATTCCTGCAAGAACGTAAAGATTTGACAGAACCTTAAGTTTTTACAAACTAAACTTTTTATATTTGTTCATATGCAGACTTATTGAAAACTTTATCATAACATCCTTTCATCCCTTATTTCCTCCCAACTACGTGGTGAAAGGATGATTTTTTGGTATAATATGATGTGAAATTGTTGAGCCCAAAAAGCTAAAATAAGTGAAAATATCTTACCGTGTTGCCGTCCTATTTAAAGTTTAAAAGAATTGTCGTCCGTAACATAAACTAAAAAATTGTTTTAAGCAAATGGTAATAACAAGTTATTTCTTCCTTCTATATATATTTTTAGTCATTCAGGGATTAGAAGTCATTACTCTCCATTTTTTGATAAGTAGATATCGTTATCTTGCTATTTTTGTAATTTTTGTTTTTAGAAGTATCCTTCTAAGTGGAAGAAGAAGATCTGATTTTGGGGTTGGGTTGGGGTCTGCAAATATGAGGAAGATAAGTTACAGGGAATATCGATGCAGAAATCTATAAACATGAGACTCAAATGTACATATTCCCTTCTTTGTTGACTTCGCATTGTTTTGTTCTAAATTTCTCTTCTAACTATTTGGATTGTAAGTTTTAGCTATGACAAAAGCAGAAAACATGTATTACTACATGTCTTCTTTGAAACTTTAGTAGATGGCTAATCATGAATCTGAAGCAGAATGAATATGGTGGCCTCTTTCAGTTATTAGATAGAAAACGAATGATCTCAATAAACGAAGCTACTTAATATTTTTCCTGACACATCCTATTGCAATGACCAAAGACTTGGGAGTACTTCCTGGTTATTTGGCAAAACTTCCCTTATATTAGGCAAGAGTTCAGTTGATATGATGATGGCTAAAAATAATGTCCTAAGTATATCTTGTTATTTGAAATTCTTTTAATACTGTTGAAGGTTGTGGTCTTTATGGAAGGCTTTCATGGGCACATAACATTCTAGTGTAAGATGGATTGAGATTATTATATGAAAGATCTTGGTGTTAGTTAGTTGTATTCTTCTAGGAGTTCATTATATTAGTTACTTGTGTTCTTCTCCCTTGAGCCGAGGGTCTATCGGAAACAGCCTCTCTACGTCCACAAGGTAGGGGTAAGGTCTGCGTACACATTAGCCTCCCCAGACCCCACTTGTGGAACTACACTGGGTTTGTTATTGTTATTGTTGTAGTTACTTGTGTTCTTCTAGAAGTTCATTACCTTGTATTTATCGATTGACCATCTATTGTACAAGCTCATGATGTCTGTCTTTGCTTCCTCCTAGTTGTTCCTCTTGGATTAGACTGTTTTCTTATGTTTGTAACATTGTGTTCTATTAGTGAATTGCAGACTCTGCCTCCATTAGAAAGCATTGATGGAATCAAGCAGAAAGAAGTGGAGAAACAGTAATCTTTTGTTCTATTCATTTAAGTTCGATTAAATGGAGTATCTCTGAAGAAATAGCACCCACCCTTTGTGTAGGTTGGAATTTTAGCACTTGAAACTAAACGATGTTGCAAATGACATCTCTTTACCGATTATTGTTTTTCTTCGACAGATCAATTCTTAGTAGTTTAAACCAAACGACCCCTTGGATTTAGAATAGACATTGTCGTATGAAGTATAAGTGTAACAACTTGTCAACTTTTTCTCTGTGTGTTGCCTATTATATATCCAGTTCGTCCATCAACAGGGCCTGAGTCGTCTGTGAACGTACTCTATATGTGGAATTCCGAGTAAATGGTTACTTCATTGGGGAAAAGGTGAAATATGTCTCCTCCGCAATACAAAATATGTTAATTATAGTCTCTGTTATGCTTTTGGATTATTCATACGTTTGTCATCCATACATTTCACGTTGGAGTTCTGTTAAAGCAAGGACAAATACGAGACGCTTTGTTAACGACAAGGGTATGAATGAGCTTAAAGTATGACAGAGGGTAAAGTGTAGATATTTCGTATAGTGAAGAGGCAAATTCTTTGTAATCATTCTTTGAAGTATCAAACCATACGAGACTCCCCTATATTTGTTTCGCAATAAGACAGGTTTAGTCTTTGTATTCAATTTATAGTTGGATGTTTTATGATAGTATGTTAGATATAAAACCCAGTGAGCTCTAAAGTTCGTTTTAGTAATTTTTAACGTATGCTTTAGATATTCGAAATGGAGAAATTGGGAGTGTCCTGTTTATAGAGTTTGGGCAATATGCTTTTATGGAAATATAACTGTTATCTATTTACTTAAATCTTATTTGAGCTAAAAATAATAATAATAAACAAAGAGATGAACTAATTTAACCTCGGCCTTCTTAGACCTCATTTGTACACAACGGAGGTTTGAATCTTAATCATTCAGCTCTGAGTTATTTAGTGCAGTTGTTTTGAATCTTAGTCGGTCATATTTTACCCATTAAGCCTGTTTGTTTTTTTAATTTTACAACCACTTAATGGGTCTGAATAGATATTAATGATCAAGATCTATAACAAAGTCTTAATATCATCAAGATATTAGACATTCAAGAATTTATGTAAAAATGATATTTCATTATTACTCCTACAATTTCACCAGTAATCACCATCACCACTATTATCGTTGTCCTCGACAATTATAGACTACCACCGCCTATTACCACCATCCTCCGCCACAACCACCATCATTGCCAAGCACGAATGTCAGTTGTCATTATCACTAGCCATCATTTACAAGTATCACCACAAATTACAATTACCACAACAATCACCACTATCAACTATATATCACCCATCACCGTTATCAGTCAACACCACCGCCAACCATCATCATTAACAACTACTATCATCCATCATTTACTACCCATAATCACCGTTATCAACCAACACTACTAGCCACTACCCAGTCGGCGCTCATAACTATCACTGTTAGCCATCATCACCACCGACCACCATATAAATTTGTAAAAATATTTTATTAATATAGTATTAGATTAGTTAATACTATTTGATTTGAATTATACTTATAAATTTCTAAATAAAGACAAGTTTTACACGTGCAGCTATAGAGAAAACAAATAGTTTTAATTATTCAGTATCAGATCTTAATACAAAATCTTAATATTCAAATGTATATTCAGATTCAAATACTTTAAGATGTGCATTTAAATACAGATATTTTAATCTTAATAAAAACAAACGACGCCTTAGATGTACTTTGGTTTAAAGGGTTGGAGAAGGATATCTTTGTCTTTTGATTATTTTATCCCGGAATTAACTAGTATCGAGATTATTACCCACATTCCTTGGTATAAGAGTAATTTGCTAAATCATTAGCAAATATCAGAAAAGAAAAAAAACAAATTAAGAAAGAAATAAAAAAGAAATGAAAAATGAGGGAAAAAGCGATAAAATAGGGAGCTGTCAGTGCGTGACAACCACTAACAAGCAGTGAGGCAATGATAGCCCCCACCCACGACGTGTTATGCTGACTGTCACTCATTACCGTGCATCACAAATCCAACGGCTGACATTTCTTCACCAATCTTCAATATAAACTCTCCCCTGTTTTCTCATTTTCCTCTAGAGGGTTAGAATAGAAGGAGGCTTCCCATTGTGCAATTCATTCCGTTCCTGTTGTCTCTTTCTCTCTAAACTCTTTCTCTCTCTACAATTTCAAAGGTAATAATTCATCTGCATTTCCTATTTAAATCCTCTTTTCACTTTTTTTAAGAATTGTTATATATTGATGTTGAGGCGTAATTGATTGATTTTTGTAATAATTGTGTTTTCGATCCATAGATCTGTTCATTTTAATCTTCCGTTGTTTATCTGTTAATTTTTTTCGTTTCATTTCGTTGCATACACTGAGTGATGACGATAAATATTTACACAATCAGGTCAATAAGTAAATCGATTGATAAGGATTACTAGTAATTTGGTAAAAATGTTAATTAATCTTCTATCATGGATTAAAACTCACAAATTTGATTAATTCATGAAGATAGAATTGTTTTCTTTCTAGGATTATTTTTGTTTTAGGTTTTGATTAGGAATTTTTTGGATCTGGTGAGTACTTTTATGAATGTGATAGATCTGTGCTTGTTAACTGATAATGATGTAGTTGGTTGTCACTCAGCAGAAGCAACTCTGGTCGTCTGTGTTTGCTTTGATCTGTTGCGATAATCATAGTGCAGTAGAATGATCGTTGATGCCTTTCATGATGATCATGTTATATCAAATGATGTGAGAATCTGAATTATATGGTTTGTTGGGGTCTCATTGTAGCTTTTTGAGTGAAAGAGAAGCTATTCAGTTTCATTTGTGGGAAAGTATTACACACTCCATTTCATTTTATGTGATCCTACTTGACTGGACGTCGAGCTTAAGAAATAAATAAGACTTTTGAAAAACTTATGATCTTAAACATGTCATAATATTTGTGTGGCCTTAAAAGCTTGCCATCTAGGATAAAATGGAAAGTTCAAGTTAAATTGTTTCCAGATTTGGAAAAGGGTCATTCTTTTTTTATATATTAAAAAAGAAATAGGGTCACATAAACTAGAAAGGGAGAAGTATGAATTTGACATGTTTTGTGTATTATGGAATGTGTACAACATTTAAAGACTTGAGAAAAGGTGTATCTGTTGAACCTAATAAAGGTAAAAATTCAACCAATAAATTTGTGGTAATTATATCATGTAACCACCAGTTAATGTTTCCTTTTTTGTTGTAGTTGACCATGGACTAACCCAACTGTCTCATTACCATCGCAGCCCGATATTACATTTTCTGTATCCTCAACTCGATTTTTTGTGGTAGCTTTCTCTGACCAACTTCATTGTTCTATTTTCTGAGCTGGTTTAATATGTCCAAAGAAGTCTGATGCTGTGAAGCATATTCTACTTATTTGTTGATGCACTGGTTATAATCATTAGCTATAGTGATATCTATTATTTTCTTTTGAAAAAATTATTATGCAGTTTGTTTGCCTTTATTTTATTTTCCCTGCAAAGAGAGAATAAATTTCTCGAAATCTGAAAAAAACCCGAGGTTCAAATATTAGTAACATTTGAATGAAGGATATTAAGAACATCTTTTCCCATAAGGCAACACTTTTCTTATACTTACGTATTTCTGATTGTTTTGATGAAATTTTTCCAACTTTGCTAAAGATGCTAGCTTTCTGTGGGACTTTATGTGTTCAACATGCATATAAAGTTATTTGTTATTTAGAAATAGCAAAAGCTAGTATACAGAAGCAAGACTTAGAATCAGATGGTAATATTTTGGACACATCTTTTGCTGAAGTTTCATTTTCAATGCAGGAAGTAGCATAAGATGGCAGATGGAGAGGATATTCAGCCACTTGTCTGTGACAATGGAACAGGAATGGTCAAGGTAGGTTGAAGTTTTTTTGTACCACAGCAGAGTTGTTGTGCTATTGTGTTCTTTCCATTTAGTGATGCTTGTTTACCTTGTGGTCTATTATGTTTACAAAATAAAGAGATTCTTATATTGGTTTATTATCTAGGCTGGGTTTGCTGGAGATGATGCTCCCCGAGCTGTATTCCCTAGTATTGTTGGCCGGCCCCGCCATACTGGTGTGATGGTGGGTATGGGTCAGAAAGATGCCTACGTGGGAGATGAAGCTCAATCAAAAAGAGGTATTTTAACTCTTAAATACCCAATTGAGCATGGAATTGTCAGCAACTGGGATGATATGGAGAAGATCTGGCATCATACTTTCTACAATGAGCTTCGTGTTGCGCCCGAGGAGCATCCAGTCCTCTTAACTGAGGCGCCTCTTAACCCAAAGGCTAATCGTGAAAAGATGACCCAGATTATGTTTGAGACTTTTAATACCCCAGCTATGTATGTTGCTATTCAGGCTGTCCTCTCACTGTATGCCAGTGGTCGTACCACCGGTAAGAAATTTTTCCTTCTTTATTAGCATATTCATTTTAAACGACTGAGATCTTTCAAGTTTCTTGATGCTTGTACCTCAAAAAGATCTTGCATTTATGTGGTGCTTAGTCGATATTTCGAAAAAGTATATAGCTAATGCATTAGAAGTAATTGGACTGATGCAAATAATGCAGCTTGTAATATGTATTTCTTGGATGATCTATCCTTTACACTCTTATCTTTGGCAACAGTTTGCACAAACCAATTTTTTGTTGGTTGCAATCTTCTTTAATTCTCTTCTTTAAACTTATAACCTCATTATTTCTGACATGGTTATTATCAGTTCTGGTTATTGCTTCTAATTCATTTTCTTTTCCACAGGTATTGTGTTGGACTCTGGTGATGGTGTCAGCCACACCGTCCCAATTTATGAGGGGTATGCCCTCCCACATGCCATTCTCCGTCTTGACTTGGCAGGTCGTGACCTCACTGATAGTTTGATGAAGATCCTTACCGAGCGTGGTTACATGTTCACCACCTCAGCTGAGCGGGAAATTGTCAGGGACGTGAAAGAAAAGCTTGCTTACATAGCTCTTGACTATGAACAGGAACTCGAGACTGCAAAGACCAGCTCTTCTGTAGAGAAGAACTATGAGCTCCCGGATGGGCAGGTGATCACCATTGGTGCTGAGCGTTTCCGTTGTCCTGAGGTCCTTTTCCAACCATCAATGATTGGAATGGAAGCTGCAGGAATCCACGAGACTACATACAACTCTATCATGAAGTGTGATGTGGATATTAGAAAGGACCTTTATGGAAACATTGTGCTCAGTGGTGGCTCTACCATGTTCCCAGGTATCGCTGATAGAATGAGCAAAGAAATTACTGCACTTGCTCCTAGCAGCATGAAGATTAAGGTGGTGGCCCCACCAGAGAGGAAATACAGTGTCTGGATTGGAGGCTCTATCTTGGCTTCCCTCAGCACCTTCCAGCAGGTTTGCTTCCTCCTCTCTCCTAATAGAAAAAGCTTTGCCTTGTTTGATGTCTATCTTAACTAAAAGCTTGATAATTTCTGATGAGGCTTTCTGCTTCTCTTCTTTTGTGCAGATGTGGATTGCAAAGGCAGAGTATGACGAATCTGGTCCTTCTATTGTCCACAGAAAGTGCTTCTGATTTTCCCAGAGTGACAATGTTGGTGAAAGGAAAATACTTACTTCCTACTGGATCAGAAATGCAGTTGCATTTTTATATTCCAGCTTTATTTTCTGTATTTTTGTTCTCATGTTGGATTGAAGATATTGAGTGGGCAAGGAGTTGATTGTTGGGTCATCGTATTCTTTTATTTCTCTATTTGACAAGTTTCTATTCTTCCATTGTTCTTCTCTTTATGTGTCCCCAACTCCCCCCCCCCCCCCCCTCCCTTCCCTTGCGTACTTGAAATGACTGATGATTGGTTGACTAGGCAAGAATCTAATTAATGGTGCCTTTTCATAGCATAACATATACGTAGCTTTACTTTCACTGAGGAGTACTTACGGATACTGGCATGAACTGTTTCACCATTTGTGCAATATAGCATCCGATCTTGGCCCGATTAGGTAAGCTGTCTCACCTTGTGTTGACTGCTGATCAAGGGTTGTTACATAGGAATTAGTGCGTTCCGAATTTTAGTTTTTAAATTTGATTTTTTAGGACAAAAATGTAAGTTATTATTTTTAGTTAAATAATAACTAAAAATGGCTAACTATTATTCTATAATTAGCATCCCTAAGAAAGGCTATTTTTGCACTTGCGCCTGTGTTAATTGTGATGGGTCTAAGTCACCATCGCATTGTTTAAAGCTGCTCTATCAAAAGAGCTTGGCGGTAGATCCCATAACTAAAACTTAACAAAAAATAGGAATCTATCTCAAATTGTTCATCTTCTGATTGAGTTATTTGAAGTCACTTTGTTCTTATATGATTCTTCTGAATGTTATTGTTCAGTGCGATTTCTTGCACAAATTGGAATTGATCATTATCAAATATATCAGAAATATTGCGATAGCATTGCACGATCGGGAACTTCCTGTTTCAGAATAACAGTTCTGAGTTAAGCGCAGGAATACAATGCTTTCGTACTATTTCACAAAATTGAGTTTCTTACAAGGCGTGAAGATATGATTACACTAAGGCCCCGTTTATTCATAAAAAATATTTCTTCTTCGTATTTTCATTTTTTTTAAATGTGTTTGTCCATGAAATTTTGCAAGTTTTTGAAAAAAAATCGAAAATAAGTTTTTCAAATACCAATCAAAATTTTCAGATTTTTTTTCCCCCCTCACAAAAGTACAACATTTTTTTATTTTTTTCAAGTAAAATGCATGTCCAAATATAATTTCAAATTTCAAATACTTTTTTTCAACTTAACTCCAAATACTACTCATTTTCAAAAATTACAATTTCTATGTCCAAACGCCTACTAAGACACAGCTAATGGAGCTCTGGTAAATCCATTTTCTTCCTCAACTCCCGTGAAAGGTCTTAATCAGTGACGCTGGCTTGAAAAATCAACAGCCCGTCTAGCTCAGTTGGTAGAGCGCAAGGCTCTTAACCTTGTGGTCGTGGGTTCGAGCCCCACGGTGGGCGTCTATTTGGCCTATGTTTTTTTTTATTTCGTTTTGGAATAAATTCTAAGGCCTCATTTGTTTGCACTTAATGGAGGTCTAAATCTTGATCATTCAGATCTCAGACATTAAGTACATTTGTTTTTTAAAGTCTGAATCTTAATCATTAAGTTTGTTTGTTTTTTTTTACTTCACAACCACTTAATGGGTCTGAATAGGTCTGTATGATTAAGATCTATAACAGAGACTTAATTTCAGTAAGATGCTACCACACATTCATTATTAACTGCAACTTCTACCATTATCAACTACCACCATGCCGCCACCACCACCATACCCAACCACCACCACCCCTACCACAACCACCTCAATCTCCACCACCACCACCACCATGCTACCATCATCCTCAATCGTAGCCGCCACCATTATCGACCATCACCACCCACTATCCCCACCACTCCGACCACCATCATTCTCACCCATAATCAAAATTCATCCACCTCAACTATCACAACTGACCACCCCATCACCATCATTATAACCTACCACCACCTACCCTCCACCTTCCTCAGTCATAACTATTACCACCACCCGCCATATTAACTATCACCACCACCATCTCCAATCATAATCGACACCACTACCAATCACTACTAACTACTAGCATGAACCACCATCATCAACCAAAATTACCACCAACCACCGCCTCTAGTTGGCATTCTTCCGTTAGCCATCACCACCAACTATCATATTTTAAAAAACTATATATTTATGGATAGAATATTAGATTAATATTTCATTTGAATTTTATGTTTATTAATTTTTAAATAAAGATAAATTTTATATATTCAGATGTTAAAATCAAATAGTCTTAATTATTTAGTATCCAGATCTTAATAGGCATCTTAATATATTCGGATGTGTATTCAGATTCAGATGTCTTAATCTTAATACACATCTTGATGTTCAGATGAGTATTCAGATTCAGACGTCTTATTCTTAAAAAAAACAAGGGATTTTTACATTCCTATACCACATATGAAACCTTATTACCCTCAATGTTTAAGGTTTGATTTAATTACAAACCCGTATACCAAATTACCAATCCTATACCATACTTAATTAAGGGTCTAATTAATGGGCTGTTTTTACTCCTTAATTAAAGGTATCCATATGTAATTAATGGGCAGTTTTTACTCCTTAATTAAAGGTATCCATATATCTCACGCTTCTCTCTCCTTACCCCTCACCCCCTCACCCACGTTTTTACCCATACCCCACATTCTTTTTACCATTTTCCCTCTTCTATAACCAAACAAAATTCCCTCTTTCTGGAAAATGATTTGTTTGAATTCCGTTTCGACGTCACCTGGTCGAAAGGTTGCAGGCATCACCATCGTGGCCATCAAGATTGCAGGCATCACCATCGTGGCCATCAAGTGTCATAAAACAGCATGGGCGATATGTTAGTGTCGATCCAATTAATGGAAAAAGACGTGATAATAAATCACTTCTAAACTTCTTCTCATATATCTTGATTGGAATGTTATGAATTGCTATTTTGGCAGCTTTTATTTGTAGTTTTTTGTGCAAATTTTGTAGATGAAGAGCCAATTGTAGAAATGTGACATCCACAATTAATCTGCAAATTGTCTGCAAAATTTTACAAAAACTACAAATTAACTACATTTAACCTACATTATAACTACAATCTGGAAACAATTTACACATGGAAGTTCTTCAAGTTGGAATTGGCCACAACTACATTTCTTGTTTTCTAGACACACAATGTACCGCTTCACACCATCCAACACAGTATGTATATGATCTGTTGAAGCCCTCACCTACATTTTCAGAACAAACACAAAGAAAAAAAATTTACAATATTAAAAATATAGTATCTACAATATATCTATATTTTATCTACAATTTATCTACAAATTAACTACAAACTATAAGTAAACTACAATTTGCTTACAATTTATCTACAATCTGGAGACACTGTATATTAAAATATATTTTTCCTGCACCAAATAAAGAAATTGTAGTCAAATTGTAGATATATGTAGTAAATTTGTAGATAATATCATAAAACTAAGAAGACCTATTGCTGTTATTTTCTTCTTCTCATTTTTGTTGTTCTTTATAAGGTTTAAGTTATTGTCATTGACTTCATTTTGATCTTAGCCTTGAAGATGTTGAAGGGGTTGATCAGTTGCGGTGGGAGAATCAGTAGAAGATAAGGGTATATGTAGAGGGTGGTGGATCAGGATCCTCAAACACCCCTAATCCTGCTGCAACGGAACTTGTATTGAAGTCTCTCAAACCTCCCGTGATAGAAGAAACGACGAAGAATAGATTTTTTCAACTTTGAGTTGTTGAAACTCGAAAATTTGAATTGTTCGTTCTTTTTTTTTTCGAGAATTTGAATTGTAGTTCTGGAGAAAAATACGCAGATGAGAAATCTCCTTTCCCTTTTTAAAAATTGAATTTAATGTAGAATCAATTAACACCAAGATTCTCTCCTTAATTTTAGGGAATTCTGCCCTTTTAATGCCTAATAGTCGAATGGTACAAAATTTGTAGGCAAAACGTGGATTGGGCGGGTAATTAACAAACAATGCACATTTTTGGTAATAAGGTTTCATATATGGTATAGTTAGAAAAAAATCCCAAAAAACAAATGAGGCCTAAATGGGCCTTTTGAATTGTTTCAGGCCCATCAATAGGGATTAAGCGCAGGGTCCATAATTCTCTTCTGAACCTAAAATTGCTAGCTTTTTGAATTGTTTCCCTTTCCTACAAGTAAAACTATAACTATACCCTAATGAATCAGTTCAGATTATATATTCTCATATTTAAAGATTCTAAGAAGATAGCAAGGCGTGGTTAAAATCAATCTCTAATCTTGCTAATGTGAACGTAAAGTATACTATCCACCTCAAGATCGGAGAGAAGCAAAAAATTATATAAAGAACAATGATTAATACAAAGAAAAAATAGTGAATAAAGAAGGAAAGAAAAATGTGAAAAGAAATAAAATTAAGTGGAGGAATATGACGTAGTGCCGATGTGGCAGCGCATGGAAAACACTGTATTATTCGTTCTGCATTTCCATGCTGTAATGACTCACTTTGGCCAACTTGGCTTTTCGAATTTTAGGGAGGTGATTTATGTACTTTCTCATTAAAAGAAAATAGGCGTTTTAATAGGTCCAACACTAGAAAAGGAAAAAAAATAAACTTTCAAAGCTTGTGGATCCAATCCGCTCGTGTCCACCCACTTTTTGTGATGCCTATATTTTCTATTTATTGTGAGCAAGGGAACAAAAATTTTAATTTTATGATTTTTAAATTTTAGAACGACAATTTTAATTGTGAATAATTATATTCTAAACATTATATTTATACATATTTTATGAATTTCTTAACACAAAATACATTGTATAAGTGAAAGTTATTGAGTTCGGTCAAATTCGTTGCTCGATCTCTATCTCCGCCCGACTGTAAGAGCAATAAAAATTATGAGCTTCTTCCGTCCAAGGTAAAAAACTTCACCTGCTTTTTAAATGACCAAAATATCCCTGGATATCCTCATAGTATATGCTCTTCGAATCTATTAGCTTGAACAATTTCGTTTAAGATTAAAATTTACAAAATTAGCCTTAAACTTTTCTTTAAATAGTTTCTAAAATTATTGTGTTTCAAAAGAACATAAAACGTCATTCTATCACATGAAAAGATATATTCGTATTTGATAATTACACGAAACTAATTAGCGCTGAACATATGTAATTATCATGTAATCATGTTAATTAATATAAATAGTTAATTAATTTATAATAATTGTAATTAAAATTTGCAAATAAACATACTCAATGGCTCTTGGAATAGTGATGGATGAAATGAAAAAGAATCATGAGATTTTAGATTTAAATGACTGGACATCCCATATTAGAAGAAAAATTGCTTGGAACGGGTTGGAGGGTAATTTAGTCATTACATTCACAAGCGTGAGTGACAACTCCGAGGCTGACATCCGTATGCCTACTCACACATCACTATATAAAATCCTGGCTCCTCATTGCATTACCACAAAGTTTTAGATCTTTTTTCTTGCTCTGCAATCCTCGTGAATCCTTTGATATCATCTACATCCAACAAATGGGCAGAACTTTCTTCGTCGGCGGCAACTGGAAATGTGTAAGCTCCGGGATTCACCAAATCTGCCTTAGTTTTTTCCTTCTAATCATTCAATTTTCATTGATTTATTTATAGTTTTAGTTTATGTAGTTAGTAGTACAGTTTCTCGATCTACCAATAAGAGTAAAATTGTTAGTGTAACGATTTGAATCTCGATCTTATGTTGTTGTTAGTCACTACGTGTTTATGCTCGAAATAAATTTATGTTTAATTATTTTGGATCTGAATTATTCCCTTATTATGGATTGTTTTTTGGTGGAGCAGTAAAATCGATCTCTATGGAACCGGATCTCTAATTTTTTAAAGTAGGATTTAAGTTTTATACATATGATAGATTTATAGCGTAAAGATCTATAAGTGAATCATGTTAGTTACCAATTTTCCTTCTCAAAAAAGTGAATCATCTTAGTTACCATTTTTACTACGATACTAATTAATTTTTATCAAAGAGATTTAGCTGTATTTATTTGATAAATGACCTGATTGTGTAGATATTTTTTTTGACTGTCAGTGAATTAAACTATTAAATGTATACTGCTCAACACATAAATTTCAAAACTGCATGAATAAGAACTCCAAAAAGAAGAAAGAGCAAAGAAAGGAACAGAACAAAAACTGAAAGGCCATTGTGCAGAAGATTAGTTGTTTAATTTTGACTGTTCCAAATTTGAGTGTTATTTGCTACTCAAACTGGAGGTGGATCCACTTTTCAAAAGAAATATATATCTTATGAAACCCTTTTCCACTAAATTATGGTTCACAAGGCATGTGCTCAAGCTATGCTTGATAGAAGCCTCAAATAATATTTGGTAGTCAAAAGATGTATTAGCTCTAATAATGAATGCAATGCAGAATGGAACCAGTGAAGAGGTCAAGAAGATAGTGTCAACACTCAATGCCGGTCAAGTGCCATCACAAGATGTTGTTGGTAAGTAAATTTTTACGCAAGTAATCATTTTGATATAATATTTTGGGTGGGACTGTTGTTGCTGGCTTGTCGAATGGACAATCATTTTAGGGTGTTTATATCCGCTCCTCTAAGCCCATAAGATAAACAAATGTAATATATTTGTATTTCTGGTTGAGGGTATCCGATATTCTAGACATCGTATATATGAGACAGACAACTTGACCAGAGTCAACTCCAAAGATATATAAGGCTCTTGTGATTAGTTAACCATAAGAAGAAACAAAAGTATCACGTTCTACTTATCTCATCATGTAAGTGAATAGTTGGTGGAAAATATAGCATAAAGCTTTTTGATGTTGTCTCCTAAATTAAAGTCTCAATAACTATTTGATAGAGTGCAAATTCTATCGTTTTTGAAATATATAATCATTTGCCAGTCTATTGTTGCTCTCACATTGGTACAAACCAGACTTGGACATAATAAGGGTATGTTTAACCAGTTTAGGGAGAACAATGTAATTGAATCGTCTTTCAAGATCTTCACTTGCTTTTATTTGAGTGTTATATATGTTTGGATAAGATCATAGTTTTGCTTGATGCATTTACTAACTTCCTTTTCTTGCAGAGGTTGTTGTGAGCCCTCCATTTGTATTTCTTCCTCTGGTCAAGAGTGAACTGCGACCTGATTTTCATGTTGCTGCCCAGAATTGTTGGGTTAAGAAAGGGGGTGCTTTCACCGGTGAGGTTAGGTACGTTTAATATTCTACTTCTGTGCCATATTGCACTTAAGAAAAGACAATATATTTAGCTGCTAACTTTTCGAGGTCTGCACGTGGAGGAACGAACTGATAGTTAGGTAATTCTTGTGGAGTTGTGGTCTAGTTTTAGGTATTGTTTCTTCAGGCTGCAAGTTTTGGCATTATATTTTGACCATCTATGTCTTACGCTCCTTTGTGCAGTCCTTTTGTTAATAATTGTGTGTGGTTTGGAGGGGGGGGGGGGTCTAGTGTGTACTGTGTAGTATTTGAGTCTGATAATTTATTCTAAGCTGATAATAATTCTATATGCAGTGCTGAGATGCTTGTTAATCTGAGTATTCCTTGGGTCATTTTGGGTCACTCTGAAAGGAGGGCTATTTTAGGTGAATCAGATGAGGTAAGCTATGCCATGTAAAGCTGCTGATTTTTGTCATATCTTCAATGTAATTACTAATCACCGAGCTCCAAAAAGGTTATTTTTTATGACTTTCTTAACTTGTTAACCGTTAATTGCAGTTTGTTGGAGACAAGGTAGCATATGCCATTTCTCAAGGTTTGAAGGTTATTGCATGTGTTGGGGAGACTCTTGAGCAAAGAGAATCAGGATCTACCATTGATGTTGTTGCAGCACAAACAAAGGCTATTGCAGGTAGAGCTATCAAAAATGCTTTCTTGCTTCAGAGATTATGATTTTCTAGCTAGCATCTGACTTGATAATATTATGCTGATGCGTACTCCGTCCACTTTAATGTGATATTTATTACGAATCAGCAAGAAAATGGGGAACAGGAACGAAGAAATGGATCTTTGAAACTTACTGAGAAGCCTAAAAGGTAAAACCAAAAAAGTAAAATAAAGGGATTGAAGAGACCTACAATCTCTTGGAATCAATCCACACTTTTACGGAAGATAGTGCATAATGGAAGAGAAAGATTTATATTGGTGATACCAATTAGTTGGGAATATATTTTTGCCATGTGAAATGGTTACTTAGTCCTATGCTTTCTAGGAGTCATTAAGCCCTAGTAGACATCTTATTCCAGTAAGAAATATAGAGAGCTTTTAGAACTTTTCATTTTTATTTTGTTTTGTATATGTTGACATGCGATTAGTTTATATGGCGAACATGGTTAGTGAGGATTCATATAGCCAACTCCAACTTGTTTAGGGCCGAGATTTAATTGTTGTTGTTGTAGTAAAGGGTTTGGAGTGAACAGGGTAAAGAATTGAAACTATCAAATCTTTTTATTTGTGTTTTGTGAGTGAGTGCTTTGTGGGGCTTCCTAGTGCATGTTAGGGGTGACAACTTGGTATTATCATCCATACATTGAATGTCGATTTGTACCATTTGAAGGTTTCAATATTGTAGAAAATTACTCACTCCTTTCCAATTTACATGACATTTTTCCTTTTTGGCACATTTCATAATGTTTGACATCATTCTATTTCTGTATAACTTTCACAAATTTCAAGAGGTTGAATTCATCAAGTTATTAAAATCCTATTCAGAGTCGAAAAATGCTAGGTGATATTTTCATCTGCCTAAGCCTTGGTGGGTGGTGGGTAGAGTTATTAGGTACATGTGCTGGTGAGAGATAGGTGAATTGGTCGAGATGCGTGCAACTTGCTTGGACTCCGACTCTACGAAAAATTGATTAAAATGTTCACACTTTTAACTTGAATATTCCTCTTGTGGTCCAGCCCTTCCCCAGACCCCGCGCATGGCGGGAGCTTAGTGCACCGGGCTGTCCCTTTATTCCTCTCCTTTAAACGACTGCTTTTGTGTTTCTTCCATCATCTCTTATATACTGCCCAAGTCAATTAACATGTTGTCATCTTGAATTGTGCCCACTCAAATACTGTCGTAGGAGTAGTAACTTTTTGGAATAGCAATGTTTCAACTGGCAATAAATCTTTTGGTCCTTCAGCTAACTGTTTTCACTTCATCTCATTGCAGACCGAGTAAAAGATTGGACAAAAGTGGTTATAGCTTATGAGCCTGTTTGGGCTATTGGAACCGGAAAGGTCGCATCCCCTGCACAAGCCCAGGAAGTAAGTTGATATGACCAGCTTGTTTCGTTTACTCAATCAAGTTCCTCTAGGTTTATAACACATTTCAACTAGATTCGAATCTGAATATCACTGATTGAATATTCATCTCATTAGGTGGTATTTTCCATGCTCTTTTGTCAATTGTTCAACACTAGATTACAAATATGTTGCTTTCATGTTCTTTCTAGCCTTTGTCTGGGGATCTATTACTGGTACCGGTGAGGGATTGGAAAGCTAGTCTGTTAGAGCAATTATCTAATATGTTCTTTACTTCTAGATCAACCTATTAAGTAGTAATTTCAAGATAGAATTGCAAGTTTCTCCCATTCAGTTTGCAATTCATAAATTAATTCACTTGTGGTTTCATGACATCATCACATTGATGTAGATAATGAGTGCATCCTGGTGCATTAATGTGGTACGACTTTCAGCTATTTTGTTTTAAGGTCGTTTTCTGCATTCCAGGTGCACGCTGAATTGAGGAAATGGCTTCAAGTGAATGTTAGTGCTGAAGTGGCTGCTTCAACCAGGATCATCTATGGAGGTAATGTTATATGAGCACCATTTCATTTGCTGCTTCTCTCTGTTCATTTTTCACCCATGCATCAGCAATACGATTTTGAGAAATTCTTCTCAAGATTGCATCTGTTTGTGGAAGATAGGATTAACTCCATCTCTTGCTGGACGCATTATATGCTTCTCAGGGAAAATAACTGTGTTACATGTTTTAACAGTAATGGATAGGAAGCATATAGTCAAAACTTTAATATGATTATCTACTATTGGACGCATTGAAGCGGTGGACTTCAAGCATTTGGTGCATAGTCAACTATGTAACTGAACAACTAGATTTTGTAACCATAACTCTAGTCACCTGAAAAACTCGTTCTGCATATTTTAGTGCCCTTTTATTCTCCTCCTTATTCTACTCTATAAACAGGACTAGTATTTTCCTATTAGCTCTTATAAGCAATTAAATACTATTATGCTCTTGCAGGATCTGTAAACGGTGCAAACTGCAAGGAGTTGGCTGGACAGCCTGATATTGACGGTTTTCTTGTAGGTGGAGCTTCTCTGAAGGTATGTGAAAATACTTTGGAGTTGCTTTCTTCTGTCCATTCTTGGCTTAATAAACAATGAATTAGGTGTGATATAGGTGGCATCTTAAAGAAATAAAAGAATAGAGTGAGTACCTTACCTTTTTCCGTATTCTGTATTTACAGCCGGAATTCATTGACATCATCAAGTCAGCTGAGGTGAAGAAAAATGCTTGAACTCTGACCGCGAGTTGAATTTTGCAGTTTCTGCTTTAGTCCATGTTCTAACATTTATGGCATGCAGTAGGCTTGTTTCAAGTCAATGTTTTGTGTACTTCTTGTTGCAGCTCGAAATTCACATCACATGTACAATAAAAATGACATACATTGCACTGCCCTCTACATTTGTTGGCTGTGACAAAATTGTTTTATAATAATCTTAGAAATTAGAGTTTGCCTATTATCATGCCTGAGGGAATGTTTCTGGAAATACTGCTCGCTGTGTTTAAGATACATTGCAGAAGTTGACTTTGGGATAGGTCTATTTATGAGTTTTTACCTAATTCGAGTCATTTAAGATCAAGCTTTCATGAAAGTAGACAAGGTTATAGGAGTACGTTTGGCTTTTTAATCTTAAGCTTTCCTATATTATTTGTTTGTGTTTACTTTTTTGAAAAAATGGCATGGTATGACAACTCATAAAGAGAATTGGTAATAATTTGGCCTTATAATAGGTTTGGCAAAGGTAACCCAAAAAAATTGGCATTATATAGCCAAATCCTAAATAATCCTAATTTCTTATTTATTCTTCTTTTCCTGTGTCTTTTCTTCTCTCTCCCCGTATTTCTTCTCCAATTTTCTTCTTCAATCTAGCAATTTTTTCTCTTCAATCCAGATTTGGAAGGGCATGTGCTCTTTGATATGGGAAGTAGTAATGGTTGAATACATTTTTCTATTTATTCTCCCTCTCTCCCCGTCATATTCGTATCTATACAAATAAGAGAATGCCCTAAAAGTGACTATGATGATGATGATGATGGCAGCGACATTTAGCAATGGTGTCGATTTCCTTTGGCAGATTGCTATGACAATGACGGCAACAACAATTAGCAATCGTAGAGTTCGATTTGTTTCGTGTCTGTTTGGCGATTTCGATTTTCTTCTTCTCCTCTATTATTTTTTTTATTGTTAAAAAGATAATATATATATATATATATATTTGAAGTGGTATACGTCTATGTATATCTTCATGTATACCCATGTGTATACCATATTGTCTATCATGATATACATTGTTAAGTTTGGCAATATAATGTTAGATCAGAATAAAATTGTCCATTAATTTTAAGAGGGTGAAATCATTCCGAATAAATTTGTTTCAAGATATATACATTCCTAAAATTGGCAATGGAAAGAACTTTATACTTTTTTCCTCCTCTTTTTCTTTTGATTAAGAAAATAATTCTAATTCTCATTTTGTATATCAATATATCTCCAGCAAATTGTGTATATCCACAAGAAACTATATGTTATACACTAAAATATACAAAGAACAAAGAATATCTTTTATTTATATTTTGATATACAAAAAAAAATTGATATACACGAAGAATAAAATAAACTTGTATTATATATCTGGTATACACAGTATTTGATGTGTTATACGCTGTGATATATAAATAATACAATTATTTTTGTTATGATATACTTTGATATACAGATAAAAATAAATTTTAAATAATTCTATTTATCATTTTATATTTTATATAATAAAGAAGGAAAATAAAATTTTAATATATATTTTTATATATAAAAAAGAAGAAAAATAAAGTTGTGATATATATTTTGATATACACATTATTGTTCTGATAAACATCTATGGGCTATTTGTGCCTATATCTATAACTACGGCTATTTTATGCCAATTGTGTGAGTACGTTGTCACACCATGCCAAAACCCCTACTTTTTTTGTGTGTGGAAGTTCTAGGTTAATTTTTTGTTAATTTACTTTTACGTACTTGCAATACTAATTAGTGAGCTGCTTTCGACTGCCTAGATCAATTATATTCCTAATGTGTTTGATTTTGGTTCTAGATATTCTTGTTTCCTACTTTTTTTGTGACCAAGTGTAAGCAACTATGCCCCATTTGTTTTTGTTTGAGATTAAGATGTCTGGAATTTTGATACATTTTATTATTAAGATATTTTTCAAAAAATAATATTGGATACTGTTTGTTTTTTCAGCATTTATATGCATTTATCTTTATTTTAAAGATTAATAAATATCAAATTCAAATTATAACTAAATATCTATATCACAAGATACTTAGAGAATTCTATATTACAAGGTGTTGTGAAAAATGTTTGTTTGGTAAAGTAAACTCTCTTTATATTACATGGTAGAGGTGGCGGACGATAGTGGTTTGTAGCGATCAGTGGTGGAGCAGAGGCGTATCCGGGTTGATGGATATGGGTAATGGGTTAACGTGAACCCATATTCTCCCTAAATCATGTATAATAATATTATAATTTTTTAAATTACTTAAATATATTGGGTGTATTTGAAACTTGTGGTCTTAGAAGTTTAAGGGGTAAAAGCTTGGTGGGACCATGACATTTGTGTGGTTATAAAGGCTTCTCATTAAGGGCAAAATGAGTAAAATGAATAGTTTAAAATTGAATTATTTTCAATTGTAAAAATGTCTCGTTCTTTATGGAACGGATTAATAAGGAAAGCGTGTCATCTAAATTGAAACATATGGAGTATGTGAAAATTACTAAAGTTTCAAAAAACAAAAATATAATTTTGAACCTATAATTTTAAAAGCGGAAAATGGTTCAAAATACCCCTAAACTATTGGAAAATGTTTAAAAATGACCTTCATCCACCTATTAAGGACCTATTGTCCTTAACTTTTTAACTTGTAACTGTAAGTTAAGGACTGCTTGTCCTTAACTTTTGAACGTGTAACTGTAAGTTAAGGATTGTCTGTCCTTAACTTTTGAACTTGGAAATCAAAGTTAAGGACCTATTGTCCTTAACTTTTGAACTTGTAACTGTAAGTTAAGGACTGCTTGTCCTTAACTTTTGAACTTGTAACTGTAAGTTCAGGACCAAGTGTCCTTTACTTTTGAGCTTGTTAGTCTAAGTTTAGGACCTATTGTCCTTAACTTTTTGGCTTCTTAGCCTAAATTCAGGACCTATTATCCTTAACTTTTGAACTTCTTAGCCTAAGTTCAGGAAATACTCAGTTACTGCAGAAAATTGCAGATAGCATGGGTGGAAGAAGGAAAAATAACGTGTATAGATAATTTAATGAAGCCTCGGCAAAGGAAATTCAAACCCATAAGAGGAAAAATATCCATTATTTAGTATCCTTTAGATCAGTGAATCAGCCATATAACTCAATGAACAAGGTGAAAACTTGTAACTGTAGATCAGAGACTTCTACTTATTGCTTGTATCGCCGCCGCCAAGTCTAGCTCCGCCCAACCATGTCTTTCCAATCCACTGTAATTCCGTTTGGGAAGGAAAGGGTAACTCAGTCTTTTCATATTAATTTTAATAGATTAGTGGCTACTTTTGCTCAGCATTAAAAATGAAGGATAAAAAGTAAATACTACTTTAAAAAGTGACTACCCCACGCAATTTGTACTGAAATTACCTAAAGGGAGATAACCCGCTTAAGAATCACTTGTTCTTTTTCTCTAGTAACCTAGAATTTATTTACTACAAAACTTTAGTTGGATGTGACCACGAAAAGTTGGAGAAAGGGATTCATCAATCTTGGTAAACACGTGATGGTTATTGTGCAAATTGTCTATTGATATAATGTTCTGTCAATATATAGATGAAATCCAACATTATTGTTTTTCAACGAATGAATTGAATGCTTGTCTGAAAATGAAGATTTCCCATATCTTGAAAAGTTGATTCTTGAAAAGCAAGGAGCACGAGACTAGCCTTGCATCCAAGTCGTTTGACTCTGATAATTAATAATGTTGCATTTTCATAAGACAGGTGCTCTAATTCACATGTGATGTGAGTTGACTTCAATTTCCTTCATAACCGTGGTATCCTACCTCCTTCGTCTCAAATTATTTGTCGTGGTTTATAAAATTAATTATTTCAAATTATTTGTCATTTTAGAAATTTAAGATAAAATTAATTATTTGCTTCTTATTTTACTCTTAGTAGTAATTGTTCTTGAAGATGGAGATCACACATAAATAGAGTAAATATTCAATGAAGATAGATTATATCTTATTCCCTCCGGTCCACAGTAAGCGATTAATTTGCTTTGGGCACACCCATTAAGAAAATACTAAATTCTAGATGAAAATAGTTAGTGTGACTAAACTACCCATCATTAAATGTTGCACCATAGTTATAGTAGCACTTACTTCTTTTCTCAAATGTGAGGAGTAAATGACATTTAGGGATACGTACGTAAGGATAATTTTGGAAAAACAAATTAAATTTTTTCTTGATTATATAAATTGACACTTATTTTGGACCAAAATAAAAAAGCAAATTGGTCACTTATTGTGGACCGAAGGGAGTAAGACATAAATACGGGTAAAATTATCAAAAATCTCTTCTAATTAATGTTTCTTAAAAGCCGTGTAAAAAAGAAATATGACAGATAATTTGAGACGGATGGACTAAAATGGTAAAAGAAAGAAAAGAATGTCGTGGGAGGTTAAGAGCAAATTTAAGTCTTGAGCTAAAATCACCAAGATTTATGGTGGGATGTATATGTTCATCCTTAACTAGAGTTATTGGGTTTGAGTATTACGATGAAAAATTCTTGATAAGAAATGTTTTCCCATTTAATAGGTCTTACACGGCGAATATAGATTAATCGAGGCCCCATTGCGAATATACTTGATAGAAAAGAAAAAAGTACGTATGAGTTTTAAGCTATGTGTAAAGAAATTTCTTCTAAAAATCAAAGATCCCGAACACATGTCTTTTACAAAAGATCTCTTGTATAGGTAGAGGCGGACCCAGAATTTGAAGGTCGCGAGTACACTTTTTGATTCAACAAAAATTTGTGTTGTATATAGCTTGTCCACTATTAATTTATCACTATTTTTAATATATATATATATATATATATATATATATATATATATATATATATATATATATATATATATATATATATATATATATATATATATATATATNNATATATATATATGAAATATTTGCCGAATTTAACGGGTGATCACGCCCAACTCTAGTCCTAAAAAGGATAAGCGTTCGCTGCAAATATAATCCGGTCTAAAAGTCCGGAGTCGAATCCCACAGAGAACTAAGGCTTAGCTATATCTGTTTAATATCACTAAGAAGACAAGTTTGAACAATTTCCTAAATTATAAAGATTGAGATTTATATTTCTAACTAATTAACTAGCAAATACTACAAAGCGGTAAAATTATCAACTAACGAGACAAAGGGTTGGGGACTAAATTAAGGAGGTCTAGAGTTATGATTTCCCC